AATCTTAATGACAACCTCCAACCAAAAATAGCATCAGGAGGGGATTCTACTGAACTTGGCGGTCGGCATTCCAGGCATTCTTGTATTCATTTGCACATGCTCCAAAAATGTAAATCTATTACTTGCAGTTTTTTTTAGGGGACAATTTGGGCGACCGACCGCAGTCACTGGGTAATGAAATTTATTTGCAGTGTCTGCCTAGAAAGTGATACAGTAATGATCCAAAAATAACCGAATGACACAATTTTACTTTCAGACTGCCACACAAGGCTATTCACCAGGAAAACAAAGAAACAGAAGTTTGTTTACCCCGAAATGTGTTATAAAAGAAGACTGCTTGAAATTAATACATTTAATTAATACAGTTTTAGAAAATAAGTAGGAGATGAAGTTCTGAATATAGAATGGGTACCGTATGAAGGGAAATGTATCAAACTATTTTTAGGTTAATTGTCAGATACCTGCCTTACATTGTAATTAAAACAAAAACAGGGATGAGATTGTTAATTTTACAAAAAGTCCGATTTTTTTTTTTTTGGGGGGGGGGAGGTCTGTAACTGTGAAAGATGTTTTTTTCCCTACACTGATAATGTTTTTCTCTCAGATTTAACATGCTGATTTCAGATAAAGGCTGATTTCAGACAAATGCTGATTTCAGACAAATGTCTAAAAAATCTCACCCCCATCAGCCTGGGGGTTTGGTCGGTATCAGATGAGGGGAATAATGGTCATACCGATTTTTGGCAAGGTATGCACCCCTGTAGTTGGAAAATATGTGAAAGCATTGCAGCGCTGGCAGCTTTTTTGGTGCTATCACTTGTTTTAAAAAAACGGCAGCCAAAACATGCTTGTTACCGGTTCAAGCATGTTGGCGGCCATTTTGAAGAAAAAAAAATTAAAAGTGATAACACCCAAAAAAATTTCACCGCTCACACTACAAAGCTATCACACAATTTCCAGTTCTAGATGTGTATACACATACCTTGCCAAAAATTGCTATGAACATTGCTCTTTTCGATCATTTGATACCGGTGGCCCAATTTTTGGACCGAAGTAGATAGCCTAATGCCTGTTAACAGTACCGGTACGAGAAAATATGAAAATTCAAAAATATGAAATTTGGGACTGTTGCATAAAAAAATGAACACTGTGTACAACAAAAATACAAATTGGGGTAAAAGGTCACATTGTAGGCTACATTCTGAAACTGAAGTAATTTTAATTCAGTTGGAATCGACGGGATCACAAGTTTGGAATTTCAATTTGATATCATTCTGTACATTCCAGGTGTTATGGTAATCTACTTATTGTTTTCATTTTTAGCCAGGGTTGGAATGTATAATAACATTTCTTTCTATAAATTATTTTTGATAAACAAAAAATTCTTGAGAATTTTTTTTATTAAAGTTGCATGATTGCAACTGAAAGTTGTCACATTTAATTATTTACAGAGTTTGTAAACTCAACATGAAAACAGGCTTTCGCCTCATGTGAAATGGATCAGTTCTGTTTATTTCTCATTTTTATAGTCAGTAAAAAAAAAGAATTACTCAATAACTTTTTGTTATGTCAACTATGTGCACAAACATACATCATGCTCTGCACAGATGTTTTATAAATTAATTATTAGCCTTCACGTTTCATAACTTGATCCAACAGTGTGTTCAGGGTCACTTTTGTTTTACTGTGTAACAAACAAAAGCTTAGGGATATCAGTTTCTGAAGTAAAGATCAGCAGCAAACCCCTAACAGTGATCTAAAGGATATTGACCCCCTTAACTTAACCCTAACCACCCCAAATCCATCAAAATCCATCCCCCATTTAGGTGGATTTTGGGGGGACTTGGTCCAGAAGGCCTGGCGTGACTAAATATTGATGGAGTATGATGGACTTGGGCATAATGGCCTGAAGCAGTGCTAGGGTTATCCGATTGATTTTGCCTACGTTCCCGTACTGCTATTGTGATAAAAGCCATGTGTAGCAAGTCCATGAATGTCAACCAGTGCGTCAGTGGTGGATTTCATTCTGTCATGTACAGTTTTGTATTGGACGCACAGTGATTGATGGATTTTGGTGGAATTGGTCCAGTTCCTAGTAAAAGACGCTAGAGAGTTAGAGTTTTAAAGACAAATAGTGTAGCAAAAATTTGTTTTCTTTCATTAATCAAACCTAACACTCCTCAATTCTCTAAAATCCTCCTAGCGGTTTAAGAAGATTTTGGAGGATCGAGGATAAATTGGTGTTTGAAGAAGAGGATTTTGGAGCATTGAGGATGAATGCATTCTGAGAGGCAGGACTGTCTAGTGATTTTGAAGGGTTGAGGTGCTGGGTATCCTTCATTTGAACATTCAACAACATTTTGGAGGATTTTGGAAGATTGAGGATGGTTCTTAGCAAAAAGGGCCTAGGGGGTTAGAGTTTTAATAAAAAAATTTTCTTCATAAAATTGGCTTCATCTTGAAAGATAAATTGATGTCCACACATGCTGTATAGTACTTCAAGGAATTAGCCAGTTATACTGCTAAGGCAAAATAAAAATAGTTCTGTTTCCGGTTTCCCTACCTACCCTATTCTGACAGCCCCTACCCTAATTTTTTTTTATGGGAAAAATTAGCAAAAAAACCCCAAACCATCAATTTCTACCTTTTACCCATGACTACACGCAGACACCTCCATATGATCGTACACAAAAAGAAATTGGCCAAAAAAATAATTTCCCTACCTACATATACCTACCCTATTTTTAAATGCCATGTAATCGAAAGCAGAACGTTTTTTGGGGGGCCTAAAATTAAAAATACAAGTTAAGACTGTTAAAAATCAGCTGCTAAAATGTATGTCCTTTATCAAAGATTACAACATACCAGATAAATGTAACATTCTCAGTCCCACTGCATGACACACATCTTATCATTCATACAAACCATTTCGATCTCTATGGCAAGAATGCAGGAGAAAAACCCGAGGTCATTGACCCCATGACCCTAGTATCAACTTCTCCTCCGAGGTATGCTGAGTATGTGACACTCTATAAATGTTACAATGACTGTGTTTTTAGTAACATTCAATCTGTCACATTGTTTGTGTTTTGGAATTTAATGCAGAGCACATACATGTAGTATGAATCTATTTAAATCGTGCGTAAGAAATTTTAGTGCTGATAAGGTGAAATTTGAGAAATTTTCTTTTTAAAGGGAATATACAACATTTGCAAACATCAAAAAACAAAACTACCAAATTATCACCAAATTTTCACTAAAATACCTCACTGGACTGTTAGTGAATGACAGTCTAAAGCATCCCGTAAAATTATGGTACCTGGTGTACTGTGATTTTCATGCAAAATTGTATTTTTGTATCAATTTTCAACGGGAAAAAAACTGGATATTTTCAAATACTGCTCCCAATTTATCATATTTAGTTAGACCACATTTTTGTTTGCAATCGATTACACACCTATGAATGGGTACAAGCCAGCTAGACTGGTTCCCAGACCTTACAATTCCCCGACGTCTATAAGTTGTTCCGTTTAATTCATCTGAAGGGGGGGGGGGGGGGTCAGGGAACCAGACTACAGGAATATGATTGTTTTTCTTGGTTTTTCCAGAATCTACGAACCTAAAACGTCAATTAAGTCAGTGTAACAATATTTGCTATAAAATACTAACCCCTCAAATCTATCCATTTCTGAAAATTACAGCTAAAGCAAAATTTGTATATTCCCTTTAAAGTTTCTCCACATTATCATAACAGTTAACACTCACAATATTTCTTTAAAATTGTCTCTAATTTTTTTTTACCCACGGAAACTAAAAGTACAGTTATAAAATTGTTTACCGTACCGTCAACATGTTATTCCATGGGAAATTTTTTATTGGAAACTTCCTACGTGTACATGTAAATGATGTAAATGATACTTGTACATTAGTTTCATGTACACTACGCAGTGAACCAATTGCAAATTCCTTGTACATTATGTAATAAAAATGGGGAGATTTCCTAATCGTAATTGCACGATTATACTGTACGAGTATTGTTCTTTGGCTGAACAAGGACATTTAGGATTAAGTGACCGATTATATGTATGGTAAAGATGATGATAATGAGATGATGAGAATAAAGAAACATTTTGACAATGATTATGGTATTTAACTGTGATGATAATGATCATAATGATGAAGATGACAGAGATTAAAAGATGACAATGACGATGAACAAAAGCTAAATATAATTGTTATATCCTGTCCTTGGATACTGTAATTTCGTTGGTCAACATGTAGGTCTGGACAATAAAAATGCATGTCACACACTGAGGGTGATATCGCACTGCGTTCACTGCGCGCTAGCTTTGCACAATGAGAACTGCAACGTCAAACGCTCAGTCTCATGTCCGGCAGGACACCAAAACCTTCATTTATCAAAGGTTACATCGCAGTGATTTAATTTATTTCTCACACAATAAGTTACAACCATTTATCTTTTTTGGGTTATTGGCACGATATAACAAAACACAATTTGTTGGCTGCTGTGATGTGGGATGTCATGGCCTAGCGGTTAAGAACACCGGACTCATGTTCTGGTGTTTCAGAGGCAACAGTGACGTGGGTTCGAGCCCGGGCGCGGACACTTGTGCCCTTAAGCAAGGCACTTAACCATTATTGCTTCGTCCTTCGGATGTGACGTGAAGCCGTAGGTCCCGTGTGTTGTATAATGTCTAATGCACGTTAAAGAACCCAGTACACTTATCGCTAAGAGAAGGGGTTCGCCCCGGTGTTTCTGGCAGTGCGATTATCTTCAGCCATGAAGTCTGCACTTGTAAGGAAGAAGAAGAAGAAGGGATATGCTGTTTTTAACCCCCTCAGGTGGCATAGCACCCTCGGCTCGTCGGGTGTTAAAAAACGTCATATCCCACATCACAGCAGTCAACAGTTGAGCACTCGAACAGAATATCAGGTCAACTGTTCCAAAAACTCATGTCAGAGTATTCGCGTCAACTCACCTTGGCAGCTTGGCTCCTAGACAGTGAGTTCGACAGTCTGGACAGGCTACTTTTCCTCCTCGGACTCCGTGGGCTTGGTGAGGCTGCCGGAGGAGGCGGGGGCGAGCAAGGAGGCGTCGAAGGAGAACCGATCCTCAACAACGGAGACGCCGGACTCCCTCCACCAGAACGATACTGGAAGGATGCGTTATTGTTCGTGTTGACGCTCTCTCCGCGCGCAACCAGCTTCAGGTTCTCGCGGAGGTTTTCCTGGGTGTCCGCTTCGCTGAGCCATCTCAGGAAGAGCTCGTCCACCTTTAGCTTGAGGACTGGGCGGAGGGAGGACGACATGTCTGACGTTCCGACGTCTTCATGCACCATTTAAAAGTGGATCGGTACTGTTGTAAATTACGGTACTTTTCAAGAACGGAATCGTGGAATGTTCCAGGACATTGTCAATTTGGAACTGTTGGCTGTTACATCACAGAAATTACAGCATCTGCTTATCCTGTAGAGCCTAATGAGAAAAGAAGTAGTGCAAGGAATATTAATTTAATTTGAATATCGTTGCGCTAACAACCCACCTCACTCCTCCAAAATCCTCCTGGCGGTTTTGGAGGATTCTAGAGGATTGAGGATGAATGGTGATTGAATCAAATGAGGATTCTGGAGGATTGAGGATGAATGGTGATTGAAGCACATGAGGATTTTGGAGGATTGAGGATGAATGGTGATTGAAGCACAAGAGGATTTTGGAGGATTGAGGATGGATGCATTTTGAGGCAGGACTGTCTGATGATTTTTAATGATTTGGCGTTGGTTATCCTTCATTTAAACACGAGTGCAAAGTTTTGGGATGAGGAGGATTTTGGAGGATTGAGGATGAATGCATTTTGAGGCAGGACTGTCTGACAATTTTGAAAAATGTAGGCGGAGTTGCAAATTTTGGAAAATTTTGGAGGATTTTGGAGGATTGAGGATGGTTGTAAGCAACAAGGGCCTAGGGGGTTAGGGTTAATGCAATTGTGTTTGACACATTTTTATGAGGCAGTGTTTGACGGTGAACCGGCCCCCAATTGTTTTCGCGCTTTTACTGGTACGGCACTGAACATGCACAGTGTTTTAATTTTTTTTCATGACAAATCTTCATCTGATCCCAGGCCTACACTGCAGTTGTGACTTCATATTCATGAGATGGGAATCAGACCTAATCATGCTAGGCCTAATGCAATTTCGGACTTTATTCCCTTAATTAAAAAAAAAATTCCCCAAAGCCATGAATCAGAAAAAGAAGATGAAATATTCTGCAAATGAAATGCAGGTTTCAATAAGAAGACAATTCCTACAAGTTACATTATTGGGGAGATTGACAAAAAAGTAGGATCAAATCGCGTTGTCGCGATTCCGAGTTTTACTGCGTGCTAGGCCTATCCGTTAGGCGACACGTCGCTCTGGTTGGAATGGCAATTTAATATTTGAAGGTGTAGGCCTACTTGTGTATGTGCACATGAGGGCGCTGTACAATGTCCCGGTTTAAGAATGAAAAAATGTTAAGAATGGAAAAAAGTTCACAGTTTTTAAAAACGACATTAAAAAGAAATTTGAACGGCTCATTTCAAAAGAGAGACTAGGCCTATCAAATAAAACAAAAAATATCATCCATTATTGCTTTAACTATATCTTGGAAAGATTCCCATATCTGGCCATCAGTAATTTTTCCCTGGCTTCAGTGAGGCTGTGAGCCATCAGAAAGTGATAATAAAAAGTCAAAATTAGCAGGGAAAATATTGAAGTAGGTTTACTGAGAAAACACTTACTACATTTTCAGACCAGTCTCATAGGGTTTGTGCACAGGGTGACAAGTGATGGCCAGATATGGCAATTTTTCCTATATAACACGCAAAAAATGACAAAAATCATTTTTATTATAAAGAGCGTCCGGATACTGGGCATGCAAATGTTATTGTTGTTAATCATGTTGAATGATTCACAAAAAAAAAATAACGGGTAAACAAGGGTACATTTGCACGTGAATTCAAGAGAAAGTTTCACATTTTATTTTAAAAATAACTACCTTGAAAACAAGAGTGACATTAATGTAACTTCAGCATAACATTCTGCATTGACAGAAGGTTGAAATTCCGTTGTTATTTGACGTTCTTCGGAAAAGCTAGTTCATATTTGGCAACCGGAAGCTGCAGACAGAATATGTGCGCTAGGAATTGTGGGAATGTTTTTACAGCCTGAAAATTCAAAATTCAATTTTTGTGTCAGATATTATTTTGGTGAACGATTAAAAAAAGTACATAACATATGAACATTGTTTTTTTTTATTCAAAGTAGGTCTACCTAAAGTATGTGGTATTTGGTGTATTAAATTTTAGTTCAAAACAAACCTCTCTCGATTTAATATTGACAACAGAGGGCGCTGTTCCAGTTATCTGGACGATTGTCAAGATGGCGTCCAGTCTGAGCCGCTGTGGTCGACATTTCTTCACGAAATGTAACAGATTTAACAATATTTTCAAGGTACGATCCATCAAAATAAGAAGTGCGTTTTAATCTTGATACATCGATGCTTTATATATTGTAAAATGTATAGAAATCAAGGTTGTTATCATGGTGAAACTTGAATGTTTTGGAGTTGATCCCCACTCGCTGCGAGCAGCCGGCAGCGGCCTTGATGGCCTTTCACGGCCGAGTCTGCGGCGGTACCGGCGCGGTGCGCGCGGATTGTATACCGGGTCTACGCGGAGTTAAAGTTAGACAGTTAGATGTAAATGAGAATAGGATAAGGGAAGGGGCGGGGCAATGTTATTGAGTAAGAGGAAATAATGGTGCAATCTGATGCCACTTTTTCTTCATATATCATCTCATTCTCAATGAAGGTCAGTCATTTTTTGCTAAATTGAAAAGACATGAACATGATGAATCTGAGACTGAGAAACATTTCCAATTTTGTTAGGAAATACTTCAAAAAAATTCTGGACTTTGTACACAACTGCTGAAGTGGCATCTGGATACTACATTCTATCCGGCCCCTATTTCAAGAACGCAAAAAAGTGTTTGTTTTCTGGCCAGACTAGCACTAGCAGATGACTAATAAATTAGTGGAAAAAAAGTTGTGCAAATTAAAGGGAATATACAACATTTGCAAACATCGAAAAATAAAACTACCAAGTTTTTGCGAAATACCCTAATAGGATGTTGGTAAATGACAGTCTAAAGCATCCTGTAAAATTATGGCACATGGTATACTGTCATTTTCAAGAAAAGTGGTATTTTTGTATCAATTTCCAACGCTGATCGGCCGATCAGCGTTGGAAACAACTGGCTTTTTTTTTCAAATACTGGCCCCAATTGACCATTGCACTTGTTTGCAATCGATTACAAACCTATGAACGGGTACGAGCCAGCTAGACTGGTTCCCTGACCTTACAATTCCCAAATGTATGTAAACTGCTCTGTTTCTTCTTATATGGAGTCAGGGAACCAGACTACAGGAAAATGATCGTTTTTCTTGGTTTTTATAGCATTTTCGAACCCAAAACCTCCAAAAAGTTAGTGTAACTATATTTGCTTTATATTTCAAACCCCCCAATTCCATCCATTTCTGAAAATTACAGCAAAAGCAAATGATGTATATTCCCTTTAATTATGTGAATATGGCACTAGCTGGCTAAATAATGCTAGACCTCAGAAAAGTTAATTATTTTACACAAATTAAACATTGAAAATTCCCTTGTGGGAGGACAACTGTAGGGTGCATTAATCTTTGCAACCTGCTAGTAACAAGTAGTAGTTTTATAAAGTGGATCAGTATAATTGTAAAAAAAAGTAAGTCCTAACATTTCAAATCTTTTCTGTCATTTTTATATATTTCAACAGCGAATCCAAGGAGTGAATGCCGTCCTGTCATCAGAGCCAAGACGAGATCTATCGATTCATGAATACATGAGCTATGATCTCTTGAGGGCAGCCGGGGTCAGTATACCCAAGGCAGAGGTAGCCAAGACGCCTCAGGAAGCCTACGAGAAAGCCAAGAGTCTGGGTGAGTAAGGCTACGGCTGAAGATACCACACAGGTCTATGAGAAGTGCCTGCAGCCGCTTCCATAGCTGCGTGTGTAATTTCCAGCTATAGCCATAGCCATAGTCTGAATAAATGGCTATGGCTTGTCACTGCACATGCGCCTGTGGAAGTGGTCAAAGCCTCTTTCCATAGCTGCTTGTGTAATTTCCAGCCGTAGCCACAGCCATAGTCTGAATTAAATGGCTATGGATTGTCACTACACATGCGCCTATGGAAGTGGTCGAAGCCTCTTCCCATAAACATGTGTACTACAGCCGTAGCCAGTCATTTGGACGGGCCTAAACAATAAATGTCATTGCTCCAAACACTCCCAGGTACTCCAAAATGCACCAGGAGGTTTTGGAGGATTTTTGCAGGATTGAGAATGGTTGATCCCATTCAACCTATTCTGAAATTTTGGAACTCTCAACACTGTGTACGAGTGTCCAAAAACTTAAAATGGTGAAATAATGACAAGAAAATAGACTGGCACACGAAACAACCAGTCCAACACCCTTTTAGTTCTGCATCAATCAAGTGTGTCAAAAGAAACATATCTGGTACCCAACTCCATTTCGGGAAGAATTACATACCTGGACATCACTAATGTTTCCCTGTAGTGACCTATCAGCCATCAGAAAGCGATAACATGTCCTAAAAACTCAAATTTTGTGGGTTAAAGATTGAAGCATTTACTGAGAAAACACTTGGAATTTAACCTTTCTAAGTTCTAAGAATGTGCCATAAGGTTCTGCTTATTAGTGAGTTGTTGACAGGGTTTTATTATTTCACCTGAAATTTTTGATATCAATTGTCATATTTGTACAGGTAGCGAAGATGTTGTTGTCAAAGCGCAAGTGCTGGCTGGAGGTAGAGGCAAAGGAACCTTTGACAGTGGCCTGAAAGGTGGAGTCAAATTAGCATACTCGTAAGTTGGCTTGAAGTCAGGGTACTAAACATTCAAATCCTTTCAAAATGTGAGTATTAACCCTTACCTTCCTCAATCCACCAAAGTCTTCGGTTTGGAGGATTTTGGAGGATTGAGGATGAATGCAACATACAATTTTGGAAGGAATATGGAGGATTGAGTGCACATGGACATTCGGTATCGGTTGACTTTGGAGGATTGAGGCTGAATGGTGTTTGAACAAGAGGAGGATTTTGGAGGATTGAGGCTGAATGGTGTTTGAAGAAGAGGAGGATTTTGGAGGATTGAGGCTGAATGCTTTTTGAGAGGCAGGGCTGTTGGGGGATTTTGGAGGATTGAGGCTGAATGCAACATACAATTTGGGAGGATTGTGGAGGATTTAGGGCACATGGACATTCGGTATCAGTTGATTTTTGAGGATTGAGGCAGAATGGTGTTTGAAGAAGAGGAGGATTTTGGAGGATTGAGGCTGAATGCTTTTTGAGAGGCAGGGCTGTTGGGGGATTTTGGAGGATTGAGGCTGAATGGTGTTTGAAGAAGAGGAGGATTTTGGAGGATTGAGGCTGAATGCTTTTTGAAAGGCAGGGTTGTTGGAGGATTTTGAAGGATTCAGGCAGTGGGTATCCTTCATTTGAACATACATGCAAGTGCAAAATTTTGGAGGATTGGGGATGGTTCCTAGCAAAAAGGGCCTAGGGGTAAGGGTAACAATGTCACATTCTTGAAATCTAACCACAACTGCAAAATTGTCATTTTTCCCTTTATATTTTCTTTAACCCATTAGCAGCTTTACTTTATTGTTATACAATGTATATTATTCGTTGTTGAACCCTTAAAACAATACAGTTCTGGGACAGTTGTGGGCAGTACAGGGAGTAACAAGCAGGGCGGTTTGGGGCAGTTCAAGGAGAAATATGTGCTAAACATGCTTTCCAATAACTGATAACAATTTCTTTTTGATTTTTTATGTCTCCAGACCGGAGGAAGTCAAAGATCTGGCCAAGCAGATGCTCGGTCAGAAACTCATCACGAAGCAGACAGGGCAAGCCGGACGAGTCTGTAGCGCCGTCTTAATCTGCGAAAGGATGTACTCCAGGAGAGAGTATTACTTTGCCATCACTATGGAGAGAGCATTCATGGTTAGTTTTCCCGAGGATACGCACAATAATTTGTTCAGTACAGAAATATTAACGGGTACTTATAAAGCGTTTTACATTATGATTATCCCTGATTATTGGGCCAATGAAACATTCCAAAGATGATCTCAGCTCCCTGGGGAGTATACAGCTCCATGCAGCCATTTTGGCGCAAAGCAGCTAAAATCAACTACAATAACCATCTCTGCCCTCACAGGTACCCGTTTACTCCTGGGTGGGGGTTGGGGAGAAGCAATGAGTGACAAAGTGCCTTGCCCAAGGGCACACGCACCGTAGCCGCAGGCTGGACTCGAACCCACAACCTGCAGGATTACCCGCAGGCCACAAGTTCAGTGCTCCAGACCACGAAGCCTCGGCACTAACCAAAAAAAAAAACACTTACAAGACAAATTCTCATGTTTCTTGAATAAAAACAAAAATCGGTTCTCGGCTTAAGTTAGTTAGCACATTCATTTAGAGCAATAGTTTTTTTGCATAGTTGCATAAAAATTTCACCTAGATGGGGCATTGTTTTTAAAAGCCAGAGACATGTCTTGAAGATTTCTTGCAGATCATGTTTGACTTGTTTATATTTGTGTAATGTCATGCTTACCTGTAGAGTCATTGTTGATTCCGTTTTGTGTTCTTACTCCCCCAGGGACCAGTGCTGATAGGTAGTTCCCAAGGGGGCGTAAACATTGAGGACGTAGCTGCAGAGGACCCCAGTGCAATCATCAAAATACCCATTGATATTGTGAATGGTGAGCTCAACTCTGATGCACATTAAAAAAAAATTCAAAAGTCCACAAAAAATTAACAACTTTTCATTCGTAAACTACTGTTCAGTTTTTCTCTAAATTCTTTTTTTTTTTTTTTTTTTAGGAATTCAAGACGAAGAGGCTGAGAGTATGGCAAAGCAAATGGGATTCTCAGAGAATTGCCTTCAACAGGTAAGACAGTTTCGTCGTGTCCGTGCAACAAGGTCGTATCTCCTAAAATGGGCCGTACGTGAAACGCGAGTTTTAGAAAGTCAAAAGGTCGTATCTCACTTAAAATAACCCGGATGTACACACAAAGTCAATGGACGTCGAGATACGACCTTGTTGCACGGAGCGTATTCGCGCGAGATACCATTTTGTTGCAGAATGGAGTTACGATCTTGTTGCACTGACGCGGCGGTTTATCCCCACAAAAAGTTGTAGATTTCTTTCCAAAAGGGATTGTCACGATCTAGAGAACTACAAATCTGATTGGATTGAAACTTGCTACATACATAGACAGCGACTATTTATAGTTAACAATGGAGTTGACATCACGAAAACCTCATCATGGGTCATGTGACTCATCTTAAAGGTGCCTATTTTAAAGTCCTATATCTACTCTACAGAACTACAAGACTTGCCGAAACAGCTAATAAGTCCTGGAACTATGTTTGTGTATATGATAAATTTATAATTAATTTCTAGAGGAAATCAAAACATAAACTCATAAAACATAAACTCATACAAAATTGTAATGAGGAACAGCCCTAAGTTCTGTTCAGGGAACTAACATAGATCTCGTTTAACCTGATTTTCTTTTTCTATTTTTTTCCTCATGCTTTTCAGTTGTCTCTGATTTATTGATTATTGTTTTGTTGTTTCAGGCCGCAGACACGTTCAAGAAGCTTTACAATTTCTTCATCGACAACGACTGCACAATGTTAGAGATAAACCCACTGACAGAGGATAACCAGGGCACTGGTAAGCTACAAAAGGCAACCTATAACCTTTGACCTCTCGCCTTTTTTTGTTAAGGATGGTATGATCCACTTTGACAAATAAGACTGGGTATAAACATTGCTTTATAATAGGACAAGTTGAACTTAAAACTTTAGCTTAAAGCTTCTCCGCATGCTTGTTAACCACTTCGCACCGGGTGTATTTTCGCCGAAAATTTTGAAGTTTTCAAAGGGCAAAATTTCCCAGCCGACTTCTGATAAACAGCCAAACGCCACAAATACTGATTCGCAAGAGTGATTTCAACAGAATTTGGACGTTATTTCTTGCTGAAACCTCATATGTTTCAATACCCCGAGGTGTGCACTGGAGCGTACATTGTACAACAATAGGCCGTACACAACGGCCAATTCAAGATCAACACACCGTCTAATGCCACAGACTTCACGGACTTTGTGTGTGTGTACAAAAGGCACAAGGGAGTAGCGTGTTTAGACGTCACCCGGAGGCGAGTCGAGGCAATCTTGACGTCTCAACCGGTCAGCGGTGCCTGTGCACAAAAACAGCCAGTGCGTGTTATCACGGCCTCTGGCGCGAACTGGTTAAAGAGTATTGAATGACATTGTGACCTTTACCCTTTGACCTGACAGTTCTCTGCATGGACGCCAAGATCAACTTTGACGACAACGCGGCCTACAGGCAGCAATCGATACACGACCTGAAGGACTGGAGCCAGGAGGATGAGCGAGAAGTTGTAGCAGCTCAGCACAACCTGAACTACATCGGACTTGAAGGAGATATTGGCTGCTTAGGTAAGAGTGACATTCGCTCGTACCTCCCGCCCTGCAAGCAGGGCGCTGGGAAGGGCTGATGAGCTTCACAGAATCTTGTGAAGGAAGTGGGGATGGTATTCTGGGTAACTTATCAGGACCTATAAAGACATCCAGCTGCAGCTGTTTAAGACCTCAGTTAGCTAATGCGCGCAAATGCTGTTCGAAAACTTTCTCATAGAAATGCACACATTCCATACCGGATTGATTTCTTTTTCATTGCGAACCATGTGGACGCATTTGAGCATCGCATAATATGGAATTTGACCCTTCGTCAATTTGAAACAAAGCCTGAGCAAGTGACGGGAATTTACAAAACATAACTTTTACAGATTCTTCTTCATTATTACACTTTTCAATGAAAATAAAAGCATTTATGAATGGGAATAAAAGAGTAGTAACTCTAAACTTGGTTGAGCATGCAGTCGTTTTGAGAAAATTCGTGAACTAAACAGTTGTATTTTGCACCTGTTTGATGTAGTTAACGGCGCTGGTCTGGCTATGTCCACCATGGACATCATCAAGCTCCACGGGGGGTCACCGGCTAACTTCCTGGATGTCGGGGGCGGGGCTACGGCTGACCAGGTCAAGGAGGCGTTTAAACTCATCACGTCCGACTCTAAGGTATGTGAGAATCAAATTTGAGGTTTGTTAGTCGGTCTTTGTGGTTTGTTGGTGTTGTGACTCGTACATTGAATCATAATTGATAGATCAGTACATTGATTGATTGATTGATTGGTTAATTGATTGATTTGCAGGTGCGAGCTATCTTGGTCAATATCTTCGGTGGTATCATGCATTGCGACATCATCGCCAACGGCATCATATCAGCAGCTCAGGATCTCAATCTGAAACTGCCCATCGTTGTCAGGTTACAAGGTGAGTAGCTAGATCCTCATACAACTCTCAAAGGTCTTGACTTTCAGAACAAGACAAGGGACACCACTCACGAAGGTTCTGGGGTGGGGAGGGGGAGTTTCGGGTGTGGCACGGGGGTCTGAATCTAAAACTACCTATCGTTGTTAGGTTACAAGGTGAGAAGCTAGATCCTCATAAAACTCTCAAGGGTCTTCACTTTCAAAACAAGACAAGGGATACCACTCACAAAAGGTTCTGGAGTGGGAGTTTCGGGTGTGGCACGGGGGTCTAAATCTGAAACTGCCCATCGTTGTGAGGTTACAAGGTGAGAAGCTAGATCCTCATGAAACTCACAAGGGTCTTGGCGTTCAAGAAAAGGATCTTGTAAAGTTTCTGGTAATGAAACCAACAACTTCTCAAAAGTGCCAGCACAGTAGCACCTGTTCTACATTGTACTATATTGTAATAATCACCTGAAGACTCCATAAAACCATAGTGCTGGAGCGGTTTTGGGAAGTAGAGGAAATAATGGCTTTAAGCCTGAAGAAGGTAAAGTAAAGGGGGGACGAACCTGTGTTCACAGGAACGGGATGCCCATCTCTCTTTCATTAGCGATTGGGCCAGACTCATATGCTGCTGTGGGGGGATCGCCACACCTCCTCCACAGCGAGTCTGTTACCTTCCCAGCATTGAATAATGCTGGTACCCATTTAACACCTGGGTTGAGAGGAGTAATTGAGGTAAAGCGCCTTACTCAAGGGCACAACACGCATGGCCAGGGTGGGGCTCGAACCCACAACCTCTCGATCACGAATCCTGTGCTCCACCGCTAGACCACACGTGGCCACTTAAGAAGGTAGACCACACGTGGCCACTGAAGAAGGTAGACAATTTAAAATGGCCTTTTTTAAAACTCTGACAGCTGAACTTTGTTACCTTGTTTTCTGTGTTCCAGGATCCAAGGTGGATGATGCCAAAGCATTGATCGCAGCATCTGGAATGAGAATCCTGGCTTGCGATGACTTGGACGAGGCTGCCAAAATGGTTAGATATTGAAATTACTCATTTGAATGTACAACCATTAATGCATTAACCCTCCTGCTATCTGAACAGTCACAGACATTCAAAAAGTCAATCCTCTTCCCCTGCCATGTCTTTTACACAGGCTAGTCACCAACAGTCAAATCATATTTCAAGCAAGCACTGTGACTAGTCAAATTCAGTCAACAGACAACAGCAGACAAGTGGTATAGGCACAGCTGGCTTATATCCATCACCTACAGTCAAAAGCATAGCTGTGTCAAGTTACATAAACAGTCCCAGCCAGTCAATCCTGCTTTATGCATAGCTGCCAACTAGTACGATTTTTTCGTAATTATTACGAATTGTTTGTTAAATTACGAAAATACGATTTGCCACTAAAACGTTACGAATTTCTCATTTTCTACCTAACGAAAAAAAAAAATGTAAAGTATCGTTTTTGACCGAAAACTTCTGGCGAAATGTCACGATAATGGATGGACTGGTGACAAGTCTAATAAGAATGCAGTCAAGCACCTGATAGACATCAATGCAGAGTGCGCAGTGGAGTACTTGAGGACCAGACTAAAAATATTTTTCAATGGTGTGTCATTTGTGTGCATCTCGTGGATGTGTGGTTGTGTGTACTGTATGTGAGTACTTTTCAGTGACGATCGTGAGCACATTTAGTTGCTTATTGCCGGGATGAGACCCATCAGTTCGAGATTTTAATCATGGAATTTAATAAAAGTATGGTTGGAATAATTGGTAATAGAGTTTGAGTTTGTCACAACGGACAGAAAAGATAAATCAGCATGCGTTTGCAAGGTAACATACCTTGGCAGGAATTTCTATTGCATACGGTGGCCATAGATCATTGTGTGTAAAAACATGATACGAACTCGAAACTCAACATCGATAGCATGCATCTCCCAAAAAATATGCGCACATGTTATAGATGTTATTATTTATTTGACATCAACAAACAAATACAGACATTAAAACAAAATTAATTTAATTTTTTTTTTTTTTTTTTTTTTTTATTTATCTTTTGGCCTACAGTACATTATTATTCACAACAAGAAGGGTATGCACATGTATGTGTACATGTAAACCATGTACCTGTACTCGATGTTGGTAAAGCTTTTGATAAAATGAGAAGTTGAAAATGACCGCGCGGGTTGATTACTAATTGGGATTTTGAAATGTTGGCAGCTATGTTTATGTAGGCTGGGAGCTCTGAACTGTTGAAAACAGTCACTTGATTGATTTCGACTGAAAGGACAACTTGGCTCAGAATGTATGTTTGAATAGGAGGGTAAAGCTTTTTAAAGTCCTTTTTAGGTTGCAATTTTTCAATTTTGACTAAGAAATTCTGAAAGTAGCGGCAGATGATTCTTTTTTTTTTTTCGTTGCAGGTTGTGAGGCTTTCTACGATTGTCGCCTTAGCCAAAGATGTATCGGTTCACGTGGACTTCCAGTTGCCTCTATAGGAGGAATTACATCTTTATACTTGCATGCTGGGCATTGACAAAGGGGGGCCGGGGGGGGGGGGGGGGTAGGGGGGTTTGAGATATTTGTTATATACATGTATATTGGGGATAGTAAGGTGTGTCTCAAAAATACTGGGGATGTTCTATCAGGGATTGTATAGGCTGATTTCGTGGGGCTACCGAGACCAGGAATTTGCTAAGCATGGAGAATATTTGCTTAGCAGAAGCAGGTAACCAACCAAAATGTCATGCAATGTGCACTGCCTGGGACTGGTACTCGGTTGATGTTTGCTACACGCTTGTCACAGTTTGAACTGTTGGTTGAGTTCAAGGGGGTATTTATTTAAAGGAGAACATTATTGGGTATACATTTACAATTTTGGGCAATTTTCAATTTTGTTCTCTTTAACAAACAGGGCATCCAAACTGAAAGATAATATACAACATTTGCAAACATCAAAAAACAAAAACTACCAAATTATTATGAAATACTTTACTTGACTGTAAGTGAATAATAGTCTCAAGCATCCTGTGAAATCATGGCATGTGGTGTGCTGTCATTTTCAAGAAAAGTGGAATGTTTGTATCGATTTCCAACAATGGTCGGCCGACCATCGTTGGAATAAAACTGAATTTTTTCAAAAACTGCTCGCACTTTACCAAATTCAGTTAGTCCACATTTTGTTTGTGATCGATTACACATCTGTGAACGGGTGCAAGTCAGCTAATCTGGTTCCCTGAACTGACAATTCCCCGATGTCTATAAATTGCTCATTTTCGTCTGAAGCAGGGTCAGGGAGCCAGACTACAAGAACACCAATTTTTCTCTTGGTTTTTCCAGCATGTATGAACACAAACCTTTAAACAGGTCAGTGTAACAATGTTTGCTATAAAATACTAACCCCCAAATCCATCCACTTCTGAAAATTACAGCAAAAGCAAAAATGTTGTATATTACCTTAAAAATGAATACTTACATCAGTGTTTATTTTCCTGATTTGGAAATATGCAGTCTTTTGCAGAGAAGAACTTGAGAGTTTAGTATTGATGTGAAATATGCAGTAAATAATATTTCTAGGGGAATAAAGACGATAATTTTCAAGAGTGTGGCCGTAGTCTTTTATAATAAGATATAAAACAAAATCTTCAAGAACTCTCTGCCGTGTTGGAAGGATAAGTTTGTATAAAATGCATCTCTGATGAGGTGATACATGAAAGATCATTCATAGTTAGGCGTTACATTTTAGGAAAATATTTCATTGATGTTTGGACGCCAATATTTGTTTTTGGCAGAATTATGGACTACACTTTGAGAAATGTTTGTACAAAAGTTACAATTGAAATTGTTTTATTTAAATGACCCATCTGTTGTTTTGTTTTCTGTTGTTTTACCAAATAGGGTTAGGAAATAGCTGGCAAGGAACCATTTGTTTCATTTTATAAGATGGAATGTTTATTGTTGGACAAATACAGAAAATTATATTGCAAACTGTTGTCACACTCACAAATTAAAAAAAAAAGTTAATAAAACAACTTTGCATTTGTTTTGTTACATTGTAAATTTCTTTGATTTACAGACTAATAAAACAGTTGAACAATTTAAAATCCTGTTTTCTGTTGGCATGTTTTTGTCTCTTGCTTTTTTAAAAACGAATCAAAAGTATAAATTTATCATAAAATTGAGTCCTGAAAATGCTTGGATCAAGTGTTTCAACAAGTGTTTGGAATTTTGTTTACAGTTCAGATTTCATCAGTCAATAAAATACTTCCGTGTGATCGAAAATGAAAATGAAACAACTTAATTTTTCACGTGATTTTTGATAATGGGGGACAAAGAGCAGGTCAAAAACTACAAGTTGATGAAATCCATTTGTGTATTATTTCCATTCCTTTGCCAAATGAGTTGTGAGAAACAAGACACTGCAAAGCTGAAGTCGGAAGTGAAATGGGGAATTTACTAACCAAGTGGAAACGGCAGCCACCAAAGGTAGAGTTCCTGGGCTAATTTGATGGTTTTCCATGTTTGAATTTTTAAATTAAGTCGACCTACTTTTTACAGGTCTAAGCATGTTATTGTGTGCTGATGCATTAGTGCTGAATATGTTTGTTAAATAACTGTTGGTTGAATATAACTTTTGGGGTATGCCCCCCCCCCCTCCCATCCCAGCCCCACCCCTGACCCACTCTAAGCATGGAGAAATTTCTCCATGCTCTAAGCTAGCGTAAAAAAACCCAGAAAGACAGTAACCGCAGTATTGAGATATTGAAATTGAACTATTCATAAGTTGGCCTATTCTTTAATTTTATAATGATATCTTACAAGGGAATGTTGACACGTGCTGTTAAAGCAGCAAACCTCTAAGCTGAATTCACGCATGGGCGTGGTTGCTGCTTTAAGCAGATACAATAGTTGGATGGTACCAAGTGTTCATTGCAAGACTGTACGTGTTTTGTTGTCGGCAGTCTGCACAACTTGCAGTCGGTCACCAGACTAGCAACCGATTGTGTGCATGATAATGCATTACACGTCCACGTAAATTTTCGACGATTTCGCAGAGAAAATTAATCAATTTTTTTTTATTTAATAAATAATAATAGAGAGGGGAAGAATTGACTAAAAATCAATGAGAGAATAGAAATTGGGAGAGTAGTACCTCGAGATTTTGTATCCATAATCGCAATCGTGGATCATCGGTATGTAAGACCTTTGTAGCTCAAATATTTCAGTTATGTGTGAGTTGTCAAACCATGGTGCACGGTGATCAAACGAACATTCGATTGTACATCATTGCATTGTGCGTGTACTGTATACGTGGATAACCGATTTAATGCGGAAGTGAATGCTAATTACCGCCGCCAGCTTCTAGTTGGTTGAATGGTTGGTTATTTCTTGGAGTGAAAATTAAGAGAAAAAAAATACTGCTAGTGAAGCACAGGCATGACAGGAAAACGGTTTGGTTTTTACAGACCCCTAGCCTAGGCCTAGGCGCTACAAGTACTAAAACGATGTAGAATTGTAGGCAGTTTTTAATTTTAGGTTTTATAAAATTGGAGAGTTGAAGCATAGGGCAAGAATGGTTGAAGGGATTTGTTCTAGTTTCCTTTAAACTTTGTTATATTTATTTATCAGGCCAGCCAATCAGAAGTGGGGGATGAAATGGGCAGTTTAGTATCAAAGAAGAAACAGACTCCGCCCACTGAAGGGGCATCAACATCAACACCACAAACAGCTGATGCGTCACCAGCCACGCCCCCTGCAGCTGAGGCAGAGGTCAAAGGTCAAGGGGAAACTACTGAGGTCAAAGGTGACATGCCCGCTGCGGGTCCTGAAGGAAAAGGTGATGACGCGCCGCCTCTAGAGGGCGGCAAAGAGGGCGGCACAGAAGACGTGAAGGTGGATGATGAATCACCGGTAACAATCACACAGGTACCAGTTGGTAAGTGACATCATCGGTGTCATCGTCATTTGACTGTTGTCATTTGTCATGGTCATTCAGTCATTTAGGTCAAACGATTTACCAGACCCGAAAGTTGCCGATCGAGGCAAATATCAAGCCTTACCCGAAGAGCATCATGGGAAGCAGTCAATATCCATTTGTAGACATGGCCAAAAAGGTAATCATTTTTTACAATGTAACAAGAAAGTGGCTGTTAAAGGGAAGATACAACATTTGCAAACATCAAAACACGAAATGATCAAATTATCACAAAAAATTAAACTGGATTGTTAGGGAATGACTGTATAAAGCATCCTGTAAAATCGTGGCTCCTGGCGTGCTGAAATTTTCAAGAAAACTTCTATTTTTCCAACGCTGGTCGGCCGACCAGCGTTGGAGAAAGCTGGCTTTTCTTCAAAAACTGCTCCAAATTGTTCATATTTAGCACTTTCTTTGCAATTGATTACACACTTGTGAATGGGTATGAGCCTGCTAGACAGATTCTTTGACCTTACGATTCCCCAAAGTCTACACGTTGCTCCATTTCATCTTAAGTGGGTCAGGGAACCAGACTACAAGAACATGGTTAGTTATCTTGGATTTTCCAGCATCTCCAAACCCAAAACGTGAAGCAAGTCAGTTTAACAATATTTTCTGTAACACACTTATCCTCCAGATCCATTTATTTCTGAAAATTGCAGCAAAAGCAAGTGTTGTACATTCCCTTTAATATGTGTATTTGGATGCACAGTGTCACCAACATTAATGTCAGTGTCATCATGAGCACAACATGAAATGATAACATTATCAGCAAGCAAATGAAATAATTTCATTTTCAGTTCTCTAAGAAACCATTTCACAATTCCTGAGTCTGTTCCTTTTTCAGCCGTTGCATTGAAGTGTGCAGTGCAGCAGTACGCCTGGGGTCGCATAGGCAAGGACAGCGAGGTCGCGACCTTGACCCAGTCATGTGACCCTTCCTTCCAACTCAAAGAAGATGAGCCGTATGCAGAGGTAATAACTTGAAAGGAAAATATCAAACAGATCTTGAACAAGCGCGGATGTTCTTGGGCAAGACAGTTTACACAGTTTGCTTCTTTCCACCCAAGAGCAATTGACATTTTTTTCCAAATATTGGCAAAATAGTAACTTTACTCGTGTCTACTTTCCAAGGAGTTGTCAAAAAGTAAGGAAGATTTACTTTCAGTATTAAATTCTAAAATGAAGAGAAGAAATTTCAGATGTATTATTTTTTCTACTCCTTGCTAATTTTGTGAAACACTTGTTTCTCTTTTGTAGCTTTGGATGGGTACACACAGCAAAGGTCCATCCATTCTTCAAGACGACGAGGCCAAACCACTTAAGGACTGGATCGCAGCTCAACCTGATTGCCTCGGCGATAAGGTCAGGTCAAAGTTCAACGACCAGCTGCCGTTCCTCTTCAAGGTGTTGTCCGTAAACAAGGCGCTGTCGATCCAGGCACATCCGCACAAGGTAAGACAGCCCGACTCCAGTTTCTAAAAGACTGGATGAGAGATGTTCCAAATTTTAGTTCCTGAAAGTCAATTTTAACTTATTTTTTAGTGTTCTTCATGTTCTTGCAGGCTTTAGCGGAGACTCTTCACGCAGAACATCCAGAGAATTATCCCGATGACAATCACAAACCGGAGATGGCTATCGCACTGACACCGTTCGAAGGCCTGAACGGTTTCAGGCCGCTCATCGAAATCGAAGAATTCCTGAAAAGTAAGTCAGTTTGAAGACATTTAAGGAGAAAACACCGTTTGCACTTCTGAAGCCAAGCTCCACTTTGGAGATAGGGGGGGACTCCAAATGAATGAATCCCAAACAAACATGAGACTTATTGAACGGGAGGTACAAATTTAATGCAGTGCGAATGCTTCAGGTAAAGAAGATGGTGGTGCCCATGAGTTTTCTTCAACAGTTCACAAGAGGGGGCTATACCATAACGGGCTAAGACCTCGGTTATATACTTCCTGATTTGCCGAGATCAACTCGCTGACTTCAGCATCTGTTGAAGATATTCTTGATCTTGAATTTCGGTCTCGTTTTTTTCTTCATGACAGCGGTACCAGAATTCCGCACCGTGGTAGGCGAAGACAACGCAGACAAGTTCACAGCGGAGCTGGAGTCGGGAGGCAATGACGCCAAGGACGTCTTGAAGGATTGCTTCACGGGACTGATGACCAGAGATCCTGAAATCGTTAAAGAGCAACTCAGTCTCCTAGTCCAGAGGCTAGAAGCGGAAGGTAAAGGTTTTCATTTTCACCCCATCATCATCGTCATGCCTCCTGCCTGAAAGGCAGGCGGCGCGGGCAATGTCGTTGCACCAGAGATCTCTGTTCTGGGTGGTGTTCGTCTGTGTTTCATAGTCAAGTCCCATCTGGTTGAGTTCTGCGATGATGGTATCTAGCCAGCATGTCCGAGGTTTGCTGACGGGACGTTTCCAACTTTGGGTCAAAGTCTAAGATAATTTGAACCCCGGCCTCCAGATTTTAAGGAAATTCGCAGGCACAAGATACAGTGTATCCATACAACTTCTTACTAGACCAAAATCCTCGGACCGAGTTACCGACAGACTGACTCACTGCGTATAATCATTGTTCCCCCTTTTTCCCCTCCCTGTAGATTCAGAGACCACGAATCGTGAACTCCTCTTGCGACTGAACACTCAGTTTCCCAGCGATGTCGGATGTTTCTGCAGTTACTTCCTCAATCACATCATCTTACAGCCGGGAGAAGCCATGTTCCTTGGTCCTAACGAACCTCATGCGTACCTGAGTGGCAGTAAGTCATGTGATCACACCTCATGCATATTAATAAGGCAAAGCAATGATGTCATTGGTCAATACTCCATCACATCCGATTCGGCTGGGCGAGATCGGGTCCTATGTGCTAATGAATCTCAAAGCATACTGAGTGGCAGTAAGTGATGTGATCACACCTCATGCATACTCATGAGGCACTGCCGTAATGTCATTGGTCATTAACTTCAAGCAAACATGAATTCATGTTCTGATTGGTCCATTCCATAGTAACACCACGTTTCACTGTTTCTTGTCAGACTGCATGGAGTGTATGGCATGCTCGGACAATGTCGTCCGTGCCGGACTCACGCCGAAATACAAAGATGTAGAAAACCTGTGCAAGATGCTGACGTATCTACCGAGCCCACCCCAAGACAAACTCTTCCCAAGTGTGACTGACCCTGGGGATCCTTGTATCACCGTGTATGACCCACCTGTGCCAGACTTTGCTGTGGCTAGAATTAAGGTACAGACTCTTCTTTCAACAGATGCTGCTTTTTAGCTTAAAAGGCTTTTTTACCAGATGAATGTGATTTTGAGGAAATCACTTTTATTTGCAAATGTACAGGTAGCAGAGGGAGTAGAATCATATGAAGTAACAGCCTACGACAGCGCCAGCATCCTCATCACCATCAGTGGCCAAGCAGAGGTGTCGCACCCCTCTTTCGGAAATGGTAAAACCCTGACTTTGAAGAGAGGCTCGGTTACTTTTGTATCAGCCAATCACAGCCTTCCTCTCAAACTTGAGAAAGAAGATGGTCTGCTGGCCTTCAGAGCTTACTGCCCATTGGCTTAAAGTGACAGCCAACTTTACACGACTCAGAAAAATGAGGTTGGACTTTTTCAGTGGAAGAGGGCGCCAGACACAATACATACAAATTTACAGCTGTCTATACTGAATATTTTTGGCCATAACATAAATACCTTTCGGTCAAAAAGTCAAAACGAGTAAAAAAGTTTCCAGCGATTTTTTTTGTTCAACAATTTTACTTCATGTTTTTTTTAAACACCCCTCTTGCTATGTTATGGTAGGTGCCTCTCGTGAATAGTACTAAAAATCTCCTTATATGGTGTTTGGCGCGCGCATGGCGCGTACTGTGCGATGTGGCGCAGAACGCAGCAGTGCCGGTGTAGTGTGAATTTAGGACTCTATGAAATACGGACTCATTGATAGTATTGTGCATGCCTTAGTGAAGATTGTGAACCTTCAACCAATAAATGGGTAAAAGGGACCAGATTTCATAGGAGTCCAAATTTCATGTGACACCGGGAAACTGTTTAAAACCACCCATGTGACGGGCTCTCGACCAATAGGAATTGGTAAACTGTCTTCCATAGGTATTTATGAATACAATTTAGCACTTTTTGTAGTTCAAAACTGCAAACGTGTGTTTGAGTTCAAATTCTGGGCTGGAGAGTGTTGATTTCTGAACAAGAAAATTGAAAAAAAGAACTAGTTTCTATTGAGTGCAAAAACATTGTGCCTTTTGACATAAATTTCCATGTGCAATGGCACTTGTTATTAAAACCTATATTTTCGAAAAGCCCAGCCTAATTTCCTCCTTATATGATAACGTTTTTGAGCACTGGGGCAATTTGGTTGTGCAAATGTAAGCTAGTAAAAAAAAATAATATTGTACTTGCAAAAATTGCAAAACGTTAATTGAATTAAGGCTTAAAGCACAAAATCAGTTAGTGTTGTAAATTAAAATTTATTTTTCTATGAATTTCATTAAAAATAAATAGTTTGTGCCAAGATGGTATATAAGTGGCATATCTCAATTTAAATCAGTTGAGATTTTGCAAAGTAAATAAGAGTGCAACAACTCTATATGCTAGTGCTTTATCCTGAAATAAACTTGTCGATGGCACTGTTTTTACTACTCACGAGAGTTAGATTCAGTGCGAGGGATACACTTGCGCAGGCATTTGTTAGTGATTGTGTGGTGCAGATTTCTCATGACCCGTTGCCATCGAACTTCGCGTTCGATTACTTCCCCCTGAGCTTACTCATGCAAGCGGGACTGCATTCATTTGAACTCTCACGCGACTTCTTGCGCCAACTCGAGCCTGGCCCAAGTAACCGACCCGCTGAGCTGGTTACTTGGGTAAGTATCCCACAATACAATGCGAAAACATGGCGGCTAAGTTTAACAAGTACCCTGCGGCAGCGTTGGATGCAAAAGTGTCTCAGCTTCACTTCACACTAGTACTAAACGACGGGAGGAAAATGACACTGTTGTATTAGTGTTAATTCAAACCATTGATCTCCATTATAGAATGGAGATCATTGATTTAAACATGCCCATCATTTCTGATTCACTTTGGAAGAAAACACAGTGGCAACCATAGCTTGCTTTCGATGTCTCAAATCCATTTTGCAAAGGGGATTTAATCGCCACATGACCTCTTGACCTGGTCCGGTTGCTATGGGCTCCTTGCGCCGACAAAAGAGGGCGTCCTTTTACCTAGCAACGACATCCCATGGGTGGGACATTTCGCTGGTTGACGCGCACCGTTCCTTGTGTGTGACGCACACACACCAGGGGATTTGCACTATGTACACGCAGTGGCCGCGCGTCACGGTAAATGAATTGCAGTCGGGCAAGATGGCGTCGGTCGGTCACCCACAACTGTACTTTCTTTGCCGGTGAGGGGGTTCTTGTGAACGGAGCGGATTGCTCGACCTCGAGAGTAACCTGATATCGTTCGTTTATTGCTACAGATTGTGCATGTGCATCATTACCCCCAACAAAAGTTTGGGTAAGCACAAGGGCATTATTCGAACCCACCGTCAATGATGTACATAAAGTCATGGACACCAGAGGCATGGTTGAAATGCGGGAGCGTTACATCACTCTATTGGTCAACATTGACGAGAAATTGTGTGCGTAGTCATTAGACTACTAGAATTATATATGGAAAAACTCTGTCAACAATTCAGACAATTTATTATTGTTTTCTTCGAGAAAGAATGTAGTCAGTGTCCAGTAATTTGCAGTAATTGTTGAAAACCCACAGCATTAAATATTAAAAGTACATTTATATTAAATGGAACCTCGGTGCTTATGTTAGTTGTGTGCCTTGACGAGTATAAACTCAGATTCAACGTTACAACACTTTTTACATCAAATGTGCAGACGGGATTTTACTGCTGGGAACATTGTGCTAAAACAATCTTTGTTATTCTACAATGTATCACTTACCTCAATTTCTGTGATTTTCAAACCGATTTACAGGAAACAGAGTTTAATAAATAAGAGTCGTATAACACAACTGAAATGTTATGTCTCTTTTGTAATATTTAAAATGTGGGGTGCTAAACCCTAACCCACCTCAATTCTCGAAAATCCTCCTAGCGGTTTTGGAGGATTTTGGAGGATTAAGGATGAATGGTGTTTGAAAACATGAGGATTTTGGAGGATTGAGGGTGAATGATGTTGAAGCACATGAGGATTTTGGAGGATTGAGGAGGAATGGTGTTTGAGAAACACGAGGATTTTGGAGGATAGAGGATGAATGGTTTTCGAGAAACATGAGGAGGATGGAGGATGAATGGTGTTTGAGAAACATGAGGATTTTGGAGGATTGAGGATGAATGGTGTTTGAGAAACACGAGGATTTTAGAGGATTGAGATTGAATGGCATTTGAGAAACAGGAGGATTTTGGAGGATGGAGGATGAATGGCGTTTGAAAAACCTGAAGATTTTGGAGGATGGAGGTTGAAGGGTGTTTGAGAAACATGAGGATTTTGGAGGATTGAGGATGAATGGTGTTTGAGAAACATGAGGATTTTGGAGGATGGAGGATGAATGGTGTTTGAGAAACATGAGGATTTTGGAGGATGAAGGATGCAGGATGGAGGATGAATGGTGTTGAAGCACATGAGGATTTTGGAGGATTGAGGATGAATGCATTTTGAGAGGCAGGACTGTCTGACAATTTTGAAGGATTGAGGCAGTGGGCATCCTTCATTTGAACACGAGTGCAAACTTTTGTAGGGTTTTGGATGGTTCCTAGCAAAAAGGGCCTGGGGTTAGGGTTAAGTGAAACAGAAACACAGAAATAAATGCAGCTTGGAAACTCGGATGTTCTGTCGAATATTAAGTAACATTTGTTTTTTTTTATTTCACACGATCCTCGTGGTCATGTCCAAGACAATGGGGGTTAAACAAGGAAGACGTCAAAAAACAAATCATATCAAGTCAGTAGTAGTCAACGCAAGATAAATTTTATGTTGCATGGAAAACAACAAATCAACCCAAAGAACAAAAAAAATGTACCACAAGTCTTTCATAAGTTCTTAAAGTTTACAAATAACTCATACCAGTACGGTCAAGAGAATCTGTTTGATGCATACCGACTAGATGCAAAATACGCTATTGAAATAAACTGTAACACGTGCTCTTTATTCACAGATCTTGACTTTTATAAATACATATACAATATTCACAATACTATAGACTGGTCGTGCAGTGAAAACTCAGAAATAAACATCGTTCACCGTGTGCCGACTATTTATATAAAGGCGTGATTGCACTACAGAAAATGGCTGCGTGATTTGTTTTTGTCAACATTCAAAAAAATAGAAGAAAATTTGTGAGTTGTCTCTTTTTTTTTCACCGATCCGTCCCGAGTGATGTACAAGGGGTCATTCATGAACTCGAAAATCTTCTTAGGAAATTTGAATTCGATACAAGGAACCTTAGAGCGATCTACAAAAATGCTTTTGTCACCTATTGACGATAGGTGATTTCAGAAACCTTCATTTGACAAACTTCTTGACTTCCTTATACTAACTTGGGTCAATATTATGACTCGGGTGAGTATACTGACCTGGGTCAAAATTTTGTACCAGTTCATGAACCTTGACCGAGATTGACCTCTTTGTGTCTGATCAATATTTTAACCGAGGTCAAAATTTTGACCCAGGTTAACTCGAGTCAAAAATGGGACAACCTTTTGACCCGGGTCAAAATGTTGATCCAGATCAACATTTTGACGGATCACAAATTTTGAGTACACTTGAGCAAGTTCGGGCGCGAACTATAGTTAACCACAGTTCAACTCACTTCACTCGAACTGAAGATGGTCGACTCCTTGGAATTGACTATTTGGAACCAGAGCATGGGCATGGTGGCCTCGCTGGTTACAAATAGCTGTGCGCATCATAAAGCACAACGGGGAGCCAGGACCTTTGACCATCTTTTGACTGGAGACATTCGCGTTGCTATAAGTGCGCAGGCGTAAGTTACGTCACAAATGAACCACTGGTCAACTAATGGTCCTCCCACAAACTTGCTCCTTGCTGTTACGCTAATTTCACACACCAGAGTCTCAGGCCGTGTTCGAAACAGGCTTCCAGAGCTACGGCTACGTCTATTGTCGGCGCGTCCCCGCGTCTTTTCAATGGGCGCCGGACCTAGACCTAGCTCTAGATAACTGATTCGGATGCAGCCTCAGATTGGACAGCCATTTCAAATCCAGCTCTGAAGCCCTTGTTTTGTTAAGGTCATGCACTCGTCGATTGGTGCGTCTCGCGTCTTCACTCCAGATGAAAACATCCGTCTCAGATCGGTCCTGCTTCGTGGACGCACGTAGGGGGCGTTTGTTTCCTTGTAGTAACTCCTAACTGCTGGAGGTTGTCCAAGTTTCTCAATACGGTGCGAGAGAGACCTCTCCCTCCTTGAGTTCCCGAAGAAGATCGTCACTTGGGGGGGTACTGATGCAAACTTAAAAAGATAGGTTTAGATAAAAGCTTGGAGGTAGTTCTTCTGGTTGGTACTTGTCTGTAGAAGTCACTCGTTCGCAGCGGTCTGTTTTCCATAATTATCACATATATCTACAACATAAAAACCAGTGAGAGAAAACAGCCTACGATGCTAACACAGTCATATACCCAAAAACTTTTTTGTGGCTACGATAATATCTTGGATTCTCCATCTTTTTTTTTTCCAGGCTGTGACGACGGCCCCCAAAATACTACATCATATAAACAGGGCGTCTATGGTTTGTACAAATATCCTGCCTGTGTCAAAAAGATCCAAAGATGACACAGTTTTTCACAGCCATCAAATACTGATAAATAAAGTGACAACATGATTTACAATAGTCTTTAATGCACATAGTCTAGATCCTTTGCCATAAATAAATAATATCAATAAATATTCCGTAACATTAAATTGTTTTCTTATTACTTTTATAAGCTTTTTTTTCTATCTTTTTTTTTTCTCTTATAGTTGCAAATGCACCGATATTATTTTTTTTTGGCATTGCCGACAAAAAAATCATCTTAAATAATGAATGTTACACATGAATGAATAAGTAAAATGAATTAGAATGGGACTCATTCTTCTGGATGACAGAATATTTATACGAATGATTTTTTTTATGTGCTAAATGTAAGAAATGATCATTTGAACGTTGTTTTGATCAATTTGCATGAAGTGAAATTTGAATAATGCCTTTCTTTTCTAAATAAATGAACATTTACCTGGTACTATGGGGTACAGAGAACCACCATTCTGCTAAAAGACATGATTTTTATTATTTTTTTCTTATTTTTATTTTTTTTAATTTTTTTTTTTTTTTTAAATTTCTTTTTAAAATGACAACTACTTGTGGGGGTATTTTTTTGGTGTTTTTTTTTTTTTTACATTTTAAAATGAGCTCTATTTGTTTCTAAAATATTTACAATGCGAGATAAAGAGGCTCTTTTTCAGAAAAATTGGCAACAAAACACAATTAAATGGAACTTAAATGACACGTTTACAATCAGAAAATGTAACTTACATAGTATAAAACTTACGTTACAAATATTCAATGAATCAAAAAAGACACATACAATAAGGGGATTTATAACTGTATCAGCAAAGTGGTTTTTTTCCTGAAAATAAAGTTATAAAGAAAAGCTCAAAATTTTGGGGCAGCTGTATGAGGTGAAACTTTATTCAATTTTTTAAATTTTTTTATTTTAAAATAAAAAAACACATTTGTTCCTGAAATGTTTCCCCCACAATACTTGCCTTGAACATGGCGCCCTCGTGAGTTTGAAAATGTCCATGTTGCAATGGCTTCAGAGAATAATCATAATTTATTCTAGAAAATCAACCCGTGTATACACACTCAGTGAAAAAAAAAAAAAATTAAATCCTGCCATGTTTCCCACAATGTTTTAACCTTTTCAAACTAAAATAACCCTTATTTAAACACGGTATTAGGGAAACAATATTTCAAATCTACAATTACCTGATTTTTCTTTTTTTTAATTTATGACTCTTGATTCTGTGGGCTATTTTCTTCCCTTTTTTTTTTTTTTTAAAGATAAATCCTTGTTCTGCATACAAAGTCACAAGTTATTCCAATCGTGTCTACATGGGGATAATAATATGTATATACAAACGACGACGTCTCGCACAATGAGGGTACGGGGTGGGTGGCTACGTCAAGGGTGCAAGCGTCCCAGTGCACAGCACTGGGTATCAGACCACCCCCACACCAAATACTTAACAATTTTTTTGTTTTGTTCATTACTGTGTCCAGCATCATATACAGGGAGATGGCATTTACAACCTAGGTATCAGGGTCTATATAACAGCCATTCTGATTGGTCCGATTTGGAGTCGGCAAACTGCATCGTCCTTTGTGATTGGTTGATTGTCTGGTTTGATTTTTTTTTAGTAAACCGATAGTTTTTTTAGTACCTACTTCAAATATGTTAAAATAAAACAGCTTTTCAGAAGTTGTCTTGATGTTCTGTGATTTCTGAATATCTTTACAGAGAGGAACAATCGTAACCGAAGCCCAGCTTACAATGGGCTCCGGGCGCCAACAAAAGAGGGCGCTTTTTTAAACACTTTTGAGAACCCCGTGGACAGGACACATGGCGTGTGCGTAACGTACTGGTTAGCGCACGATGTACGCACGACTACCTGAATGTGCCAAAGCTATTAGCCACAGCGTCTTCGCGTGAGCGTCAGGCTTGAATGCGTTCGAATTGATCTTTCGATAGTCTCCCAGACTAATCCCTGCCCAAATAACTTTGGATCATTCAAAATGAGCAGTGGATGGGCCGGGAACCAGTGTAGGTCTCCCCCAACTCTCCTTTTCTGGCCGTTGAGGGGGTACTTGTGCACGGAGCCCATACTCAAGTCATTTGAAAAGATCTGAAGAAGTATATTGATATGCTCCTCTGCATTCATTATTTTTAGCATTCAAGTCATCTGTTTGAGTTTCAAGTCTAACGCAATGTGAAATACCCTTATATGGGGAGCGACAGAAAAACAAAGACATTTCATTGCATCAGAAACTATTCTGTCACATGTGAATGTGATAAAGAAGAATAGCGGTTTTTGTGCATCTATGAAAAAAAAACTAATTACTGTACATTACTGTAATTATTTATTATTATATTATTTCTGGTTATGAAACCAAGGATTCCTCAAAAGTGCCCTAGGTACTGTAGCTCGCAAGCCTACGAAACTTGTGGAGAGGAGACAATGAGAAGAAATTACAGTTTTAGAGGTGGGTGGAAAAACCCTGAAGAATGTTGCGGGAAAAACCCACGGATACAGGTAGGGACTGAAAACCCAATGCACATGTTGGCCCAGGCGGGATTCGAACCCGGGCCACAGCAGTGGAAGGCGAGGAAAGTACCGCTACGCCAACCTGAAGAGTTTTCCGTGTGTATTTCAATGCATTTCACCTCAGCCTGGTGTGGTCACTATTAATACATTGTATATGTATTTATGTAAAAAGTTATTAGATAGTGGAGTAGTATTAAAATAAAATTTCTGCGTTAAATTTTTTACTGTTCCGCATTTGCCGACTCCAAGCCAACCATACCACGCTATCTTGCCTGATCTAGAGTATGCGACTATCATGTGTAACAATATTATAATATATCTATATGAATACTTCCCATATAGTCCTCTATATAGTACCTGTGTGAGTATAACAAACGTGTATGCGACAGCCAAAATACCCGACTCGTCTCACCACTAGCATTCCACTGATACTCCATCTCATCTGTTTCACAGAAGAAAAATAAATACTTACGTAGCAAAAAAAATATTACCGGATACGTTTTTACGTTAACTTACAGTTTAAATTTCCGTCCCCCGTTTTAAAAAATACATCAAACATGATCTACAAGCCGATTTATAACAATAGTATCAACATGCTCGTGGAAAATTAAAACCAAATAAATTGACTTACTATTACAAATAAATATATAAAAGCGACATATGCACTACGTGATCTCAGTAATATATATGATTAGATACGGCTTCAAATTTATGAATTAAAAAAAGAAGAAAAGATCGACCCATATTTTTTGTGTGTGTTGGTAGCGATGGGGAGTAGTACTGTCATAGCGTGGTTTTGAGCTTGCGTCTGGCGCTGTGGACTGACGAATGTTGATTGATGTTCTAAAGGTCACATAACTGCAAGGGATTCTGGGAATCCTGGTCATGTGGTTAAGCTACGGGCCCAGCGTGAATTCAGTCTCATCGTGAGCTTTAATTCATGAGTAGTGACGTCTTAGGAAGGTATCGCAGAAATAAGAAATACCTGTCCAGTTTCCTGTACTCACTCAAGATGTTTTTAAAACCTTTTTAGGAGTACTGAATATTGGGGTGTCTTGTAGTAATATTATATTCTGCATTTCTTATCTTTTTTTTTTTTTTACCACTGCTAACCTTATAACCACTGACAACTGAATGTTCTGTTTTGAATAATTTAACTCATGCGCCAGTATTCAAATTTTATCTTCCCATTGGTATTTTAAAAAAAACTACCAAATTTTACTCCAGTTTACAAAAAAAAAAAAATCCAGAACAATTCATGAATTAATATATTCTATAGTCAACAAGAAGCATATTGTTTATAAAAAAAACCAACCTACATTCAACACTTTTATCCTTCTTTTATTTTCAATTTTTCAAAAAATGGTCCATCAACCTCAGAACATGAACTGACCAATCACGGACAAGGTAGTCTCCAACATTTTGAGTCATGTGAAGCCAGAGACGTAAGCAAGATAAACAGAATTCCAATAAAGTGCATCTGACCTCTTCTGAGATCCACCAACATTTTCTTTGACTTTGCATGTTTTAAAAAAATTGTATTCAATGTTTTTCCCTTTGCTTTTACTTTATTTGCAAAAGAGGTCGGCCTATCAAAATTTGTATGTTTTCTCTTTTTTTCCCTTTTACTGCGAATTAATTTTTGAGACCTATCCAGAATTTGCATGCACATACATGTATATACCCCAAGATCCAAATAACTTTGGCTTGACAAATCCCAGCCAAACCCGAATTTTTTTTCACCAATTTTCTCCCAAATGAAAGAAAACTGAATCAAGTACAGCGCATCTCCTTTTTTGTTTGGCACCGTTCTGTTGAACATAATGAACCATTCTACGACAATGATCCCAGACTAGTCGAGCAGCATTCACGTCCGAATCCACCCATATTAAAACGCCTTATTGATATACAGGAATTCAGTATGCGCGCAAGTGAGTTGGGGGGGGGGGGAGTGAGTTGAGGTCATAAGTTGACTGTGTGCAAATAATCAAGAGGGAAGGGACGGATAATGAGATGTCTACGGATTGCCTTTCGACATCGCGTTATTGGGCGCAGGGACGGCTTTCTTCTTTCTGCATAATAAGACCCGGGTCGATTGATACATTCTTGAGCCTCATCACCAACAAACACTTCAGGCAAAATGATGTCAGGGAAGGGAAAAAAAAAAAAAAACCTGCCGTTTTAAACAATTCGGATGTGGAGGAATCGTGGACGAATAGGGCGACAGATTTACAATGTGGTGTTTGCCAGTTGATCTTGTTCTGTATACGACGTAATGCTGAAATCATTTACTCGTTTGTGTAAACGACAGAGTATGAATTCAGAATGTACAGTCTTTGAAGTGACTTCATAAAATACTCTTTTTTTTTAAGGTGTTTCTTGTCAACTTGAAAGAAAGAAAAACCTAGTTGATTTGACCAAAGATTCAGCTCTGTTTATCTTGCTTTAGATTGGACTTCACATTTGGATCAGGATGGGTCACGTATAATGGATCATTGCTTATAGTGCCAAAATGTAATTGTTGAAAAATCTCGTCTTATTTATCCATAAGCTAAGCCTTGAGAGGCCGGCTAATTAACAAACTACCAAGTCATGCCGATTAAATGATACAAATAATGCAGGCGAATGTAAAAAAAGCAACCAAAGACGATACAAAGCATCTGACGTTTCCAAAAGCCCGCAGATGAGCAGGTCGCCATGGTAACGCTACCTGCACATGATGGACAGTGGACGAGGATGCCTCCCAGATACAACATCCAACTCGGACATGTCAATCACACCAACAAAAGAAATTGAGGTTCGCTGGCACCTGCCACAAAGGGGGCGGGGCCTCCTCCTCCTCCTATGCAAATCCCGGCGGGAGGTCAAACAGTGTTCTCCAAATCCACAGCACGGCTAATTGTCCAATCAGGAGGCTTGTTACAGATGCTTTGGTTGAGCTGGCCGTGCCCCTTGGATCCGTTTGATTGGTCAGTATTTCTTCGCACTGTGTGCCAAATTTATAGTTTGTGTTGTAGGAACACTGAAAACACGGTGCTTCGTGGGCATATGTAGAATTTTCATTCATTTTAAGGTCCCGATACTCTGTGGAAACAAAGAAAAATGATCCTTTTGACTAAAAACAAAACTACACTGTCGACTTGATGACTTGTGCTGTGTTATACATGCTTGTAAAATGACAACTAACAGACAGACTGACAGAACGACAGCCAAACAGACCAGGGCAATTCTTCAGAAATTGAAACTAAATCGATTTTTTTTTACGGCAAAAAGTTTTTTTGAATGTAATGTAATAAAAATGAATATTGTTCACTAAGTGTTGCTAGTAAGCAAATTTCTTAAGATGTTTCATAAGTTGGTCTTTCGGTGCATAAATTAACATTATTATAACAAAACGTCGCACACGAGACCGATCAAAATGTCACACACGTGACCACACCCAATTCCCATTTAGTAATTTTGGGTGTACATTGTTTAGGCATTCTGTATATTAGTCTTACTCCAAAACAAGTATGGGTCTGCGTGTGTCCTTAGAACTTTGAAGAAAAGTGTGAATTTCCGAAATGGGCCCGATAACATTTTCCCGTCTGATGTCAGACAAGTGACCAAATTCTGACGACCCCTCCTAATATTTGGACACAATTTGTGAAAGTAGAAACTATACTCTGAAGTAGGGAGTAAAAAGTACTAACCAGGGCCCAATTTCACGGCGCTGCTAAGCACACGATTTTCTGCTAACAGAGCCTCCGTCTATTTCATGGAGACCGTAAGCATAAGCACAGCAAAAGGCACGCTTACTTCAGAGGAAAAATTTGCTAAACTTAGTGATGTAACAATAGAAATCACCATGCACGCGCGACCGTTAGCACGTCCACGCCGTGAAATAGTGCTTAAGGTTAGCACATTTTTCTGCTATGCTAAACACAACTTTTCTGCTAACTGTTAAGCAGCACCGTGAAATTGGGCCCTGATGAATCAGTGAAAGTAACATGTCAGATGTAGTTAACAAGGGGTAAATTTAGCTTCAAAAAATCTGACAAGCCCAATTGTATGTCACATAGTGACCGAAGAATGGCCCACCAAACGTCAGGGGACGGTCTCACACAAGAGAAACTGGTTTACAGAAAAATGAGTATGACATACGTACATTTCGGTCAGGCAGACTAACAAAAATATGCAAAACCATTATTGTGTGAACTTACGCGGGCAGAAGTAACTCTGCATCCCACAGTAGTGTACTGCTGGTAACAAAAAGGGGCATTTCCTTGAGGTTATGTAACAAAAGTCCAAACACGGCTTGATGAGTCGTCCTTTATGGTAGAAATCAAAGGATAACCCGCACAGCCAATCTTTGTAAACACTCTGCAATCAAACAGACAAAAAAAAAACCACAAGAAAATTATTTTAACGATATGATAAATAATTTTTCATTAACCCTTACTCTCTGAGGGTAGTTTACTGCACGTCAGTTGGTTATGCCAATGCCCTCCAGCTGCAGTTTTTTGGCAGATAACAAGTCTTAACAGTGAAGGCTCCAATTGGCAGGAGTTGGAGGCCCTGGAGGGTGCCTGATACTGACCAGCTGGGGGCACTCACTTTGTTATCAGAGGACTCTCATTGTTCTCTGTGGCATGTATTGGAGTGCCTGTCCAGTTACCCTTGAAATGACATGGCAGATATTGGAGGGCCATGCAAAAAACATAGGAGATTTTCTTGAGGCACATATTGGCATGCATTGGAGGGTCAAGTAGGGTAAGGGTTAACCCTAGCTCCCTACTTAGTTTGATGGACATTCAGGAGACCATGTCCATCAAAATCCATCACTCACTCGGCTTCACATACATGGTGTAATGCTTCAGGACCGAATCCATTGAAATCCTACAACTGGTGCTGGTGGATTTTGAAGGACTTGGTACACATGGCTTATCTGCCAAAATCCCCAAAAATGCGGGGATGGATTTTGATGGAGTTTGTAAGGTTAGGGTTAAAAACCATAGACACCTTTAGGCCAATAAAAAAAAAAACATGTTTAGTGTCCCCGCCTGCTTCTTTTTTGGAGGCCGCCTCCTTTTATTTTCTTTTTTTTTTAATTGAAAAAAAAAAAATTGAAAAAAAAATGATAAATTTTGACAGTGACTTCATTTTGACCTCTCTGTCTGTTGCATCTAGCCCGTATAAAGCTGGTATGTCATTTCCTGAGTTCAAGTGGCAGCCATTTAAAAAAAAGCTGGCGGCCATCTTGAAAAATAGCCCGGCTGGTTGTTTTGAAAAATGGGTTGGGCTGCCATTTTGGAAAAAATAAAATAAAGGGCCTCCTCCTTCCTTTTTTTCCAAAATGCAGGACACTAAACATGTTTTTTTTTTAACTTGGCGTTATATCACAAGGATTTGTTACAGTAGCTAGAACGTAATCTCACAGTGCTTCAACATAAAAAGGGGAAACAATTATTTAAACATTATGTTTTTTTCTATCTCTGTAAGAAGGTGCATTGTGTACCGGCACATGTAAACACAAATTAAAAGCAAGGACATGAATGAAAGAGAAGTCATAAAACAGCTCATCTATGTTTCCGTTGCCACCAGTAAATGTCACATAAATGGTACATGTTCAAGTACCTTGATTATTAAACCTCAAAAAACTGAATTAGACGGTCAACAGAATTATGAAACAAACGGAATGAAGCACATAAACAGGACACACAGCCAAAAACACACATGTACATGACCGGTAAAAACTCTAGTTCCTTGAAGATGTTGCACACTGCCTGCAAGTGACGGTGAAAAGAAAACAATAATATTGTCAGTTGGCGTTAGCGTCCCACCCAAACACCAATTAGGCTAGCCTTAGCCTGAACAGGCTGATTAGGGCTGATTAGTGTCGGTATTTAGCATGTGCTCTTGGGACTGCAACAAGATCGTAAGCCAGTCTTTTCCCAAGGTCACACGACGCTGCTCTATTAGACCAGACAACCACATCCTAGGACTGAGGTATCTTTGATACGGGACTGTCTCCTGTCGTGTCTTGCTATCTTGATGTAAGGTGACAAGTCGGAGCAAGGAAGGAATTCCGGCATGGGTCCAATATGTAACCAGATCGGGATTGGTTCTGATGTACATGCAAAATACACTGGCTGCGCTTTGCATTGCGTATGACGCATTGCAACTAAGATCCTAAGAGAACTTGTATCTTTAAAAAAAGGCTCATAATGTACATGTGGCACTCAGTACAGACTGTATTGTAATGCTACCGGTCTTGGTCAAGACGTTGTTGTATGTATATTGGATGCGCGATCATCCGCCGAAAGGCGGCGTTATAAAAATGAACCACTGTGACCCACGAACCGCTATCACGACGTCTTGGAAATCGTGTAGCGGTTGTGTCATATGCGGGCACCTATTCTGCCTATAATGTATGCAGCGTGCTTGCAACACCTTCAAAAGCTCCGAACCAAACGCCCAAATTTAAGCACGTAACATACATGAGTTTTGTGCAACTTCGTGGCAGCTTTTTTGTTGTATGTAGTGCGCATGCGACCGAAAAAAATAGACTGTATTTGCCTGCAGAAGTAGTGTATGTGCACTATGGTAGTTTCCCCCATTTTTCGGGGGGGGGGGGGGGGGGGAGATTTTACAAGATTCCCAAAACGTTGTTGCGATAGCATTTCGTAGGTAATAGCGATTTATTGTGATAACGTCCTCCAATATACAACACTTGCTTTTGCTGTAATTTTCAGAAGTGGATGGATGAGGGGTTGGTATTTTATAGCAAATATGGTAACACTGACCTGTTTAAACTTTTGTGTTCATAGTTGCTGGAAAATCCAAGACAAAAAATAGGTTCTTGTAGTCTGGCTCCCTGACCCTACTTCAGACGAAACAGAGTAATTTGTAGATGTTGAGGAATTGTCAAGTCAGGGAACCAGACTAACTGGCTTGCACCCGTTCGTGGATGTGTAACCGATAGCAAACAAAATGTGGACTAACTAAATTGGAAATTGGGGGTAGTATTTTTGGAACTGATACACAAATTCCACTTTTCTTGGAAATGACAACACACTAGGTGCTATGTTTTCACAGGATGCTTGAGACTATTATTCACTTACATGTACAGTCAAGTGTTCCGAAAGGTCAAGGCATTTCAAAATAATTTGGTACTTTTGTTTTTTGATGTTTGCAAATGTTGTATATATCACCATAAAGTCAAGAATCTTCCACATGCGTCAACAGGAAAAATAACAATGAAGTTATAAAAGAAAATACAATCATTATCTGTTGTTTTCAACAATTTTTTTTTTTGTTCTCTCTTTTTTTTTTCTCTGACTCAACATTTCCCTAGTGATTCTGATTCACGATGACAAACAGTCACGCTCAGAAACCCGGCCTACGTGTACGTATACTTGTGTGTTATGACAGCGCGTCGCAACGCAGTAATTAAACAATTGGGATATTATATGACCTTTGAAACCAATCAAACCGCGCCGGTTTCACTCGGGCGAGCGTGCACATTTCTCAGCTGAAACTGGTCACATGGAACCAATATTAACATCAATTAACAACCAAATCTCTGCAGAAGAGATTTCCCAAAGGCCACGTTAGTGCATGACTATGCAATGAAAAGTACCTTGAATAGCAAGACATGCAGTTGACTTGGTCGATATGTTGGACACATACATGAGAGGCGTTCTAGCAAAATCAGACAGAACTGGGCAGAGGTCGAAATGGGGATTCGTGGGTATTAGGAAAGAGAATCAAATTATCCCTACAATACTATTTGTTGCACTTCGATCGGACATTCCGTTGACAAGTTATGGCTGTTTAAAGTTCGCATTTATCGACATGTCAAACAAAACAGTAAAATACTGAGTTCTATATCAGGCATGGAACTGGGAATTTAGAAAAAAAACGAAGAAATTCCAAACCACACAAGACTTTGTACAGTGTTTTTTTTTAAATTTGTAATGGCATTCTTGAGAAATAAAAACGAGGAAATCAGCGGATCTGAGGAAAACTTGCATGCCTATTATATACGTGAAAAAGATGCAAATTTGTTTCTCCTGAAATGTATACACTTTTATTAGTACGATTTTTATATTTCTTTAAAATGTGTAGTAGACATATTAAAGATTAGAAACATCAATAAATCTGAAAATCAAGAAAAAGTTCATCACTGTTCATTTTTTTTGCATTTTTCTCCTATGGCCGGTGCCCAGTTCCGTCTCATTTTGCCAGAATGCCTAACATATTATGTTAAAAGTTTACAGCAAATTTGGATACCCCGATTCTGAAACCTTGTAAAATTGTAAAAATCAAAATGGAGATGAACATGTTTCCATGTTCACAAAACATAACCCATTAATAGTTAACCTGTACCGCTCCAAACTGCCCTGCCTATTACTCCCTGTACCACCTCTAACTGCCCAAGCACACTTTGGTGTTATGGTTTTTTAGTTAATAAATACAATGTAACACATAGCAGCACAGGTGCTAGGGTAATTAGTGACGCATCCAAAATGGCCGACAGTTCATCATACACGCTTCGAAGGGTATTCCTTCCACTTAAGATCACTGACATTTTTGTGTGTCACTGAAATTGTCGTGTTTCTCTCCAACCCACCACCATGTGGGTGAGTTTAACGTGAAAAACAGAAAGCAAACAATTTTTTTTGATGTTATCTCAAGATTCGGATGACGTGCATGTGAGTCCCTTTAAAGTGGCTGCCATCTTCATGTGTATAATGAAGCCGTTCCTATATCACCATTCATAGCATGGAATCGTAGCTGACCTATATGCCACCTAGCCTGGCAGCCCAGAGTCTTCGCTCGGACTCGGCACAATAGCCGCCATACCCTCACCGGTTAGTCCCCACTCAAAACGACGTCCCTGCAGGCTACGCGGCTCACAATTCCTTCAGATTTCTGTAAGGGCAAAGTGAGGTCCCTAAAAATAGACAGCCGGGCTTGCATATATACGAGTCGACCACCACGACGCTGTAATGTGAAAAGATACAGCGCTGATCGTTGAAAACCACTGCCCGTGAATCTCGGGCCAAAGCGGCGAACAATTCAATATTTTCTCCTGTCCCTTTTTCAATTACCGAAGGAAATTGGTCGCAAATTCATGAATTTTATTACCCCGTGACAAACGGCTCGGCCGTGGATCATTTATAATTTAGAAGGTATCGTCCAGCCACGCTTTAACGTGGTCTGTCTGATATCAATGACAAGTACAACTCATTAACTCCCATCTCCATCATGCAACACAGATGTCCCCGTCTGCGGGCAACTCAACCAGAAATATTAATGTTTACGTGATTGTAATTTTCAATCGCAGGAGCATTACAAGTCGTTGACTTAAATCTGGGCATTGCTTGT